CAATGCATTGGTGTTCTTCCTGAAAACACCATCCTGGCCATCATGGATGTAGAAGCGCTTTACACCAATATTCCACATGAGGATGGACTACAAGCTGTCAGGAACAGTATCCCTGATGAGGCCACAGCACGCCTGGTGGCTGAGCTTTGTGACTTTGTCTTCACCCACAACCACTTCAGATTTGGGGACAACTTATACCTTCAAGTCAATGGCACTGCTATGGGTACCCGCATGGCCCCACAGTATGCCAACATTTTTATGGCTGACTTAGAACAACGCTTCCTCAGCTCTCGTCCCCTAGTGCCTCTCCTCTACTTGCGCTACATTGATGACATCTTAATCATATGGACCCACGGAAAGGAGGCCCTTGAAGAATTCCACCTGGACTTCAACAATTTCCACCCCACCATCAACCTCAGCCTGGACCAGTCCACACAAGAGATCCACTTCCTGGACACTACAATGCAAATAAGTGATGGTCACATAAACACCACCCTATACCGGAAAACTACTGATCGCTATACGTACCTACATGCCTCCAGCTTCCATCCAAGACACATCACACGATCCATTGTCTACAGCCAAGCCCTAAGATACAACCGAATTTGCTCCAACCCCTCAGACAGAGACAAACACCTACAAGATCTTTATCAAGCATTCTTAAAACTACAATACCCACCTGGGGAAGTGAGGAAACAGATTGACAGAGCACGACGGATACCCAGAAATCACCTACTACAGGACAGGCCCAACAAGGACAATAACAGAACACCACTGGCCATCACATACAGCCCCCAGCTAAAACCTCTCCAGCGCATTATCCACAATCTACAACCTATCCTGGAAAATGATCCCTCACTCTCACAGACCTTGGGAGGCAGGCCAGTCCTCGCTTACAGACAACCCCCCAACCTGAAGCAAATACTCACCAGCAACTACACACCACACCACAGAAACACCAACCCAGGAACCAATCCCTGTAGCAAACCTCGTTGCCTACTCTGTCCCCATATCTACTCTGGCGACACCATCAGAGGACCCAACCACATCAGCCACACCATCAAGGGCTCATTCACCTGCACATCTACTAATGTTATATATGCCATCATGTGCCAGCAATGCCCCTCTGCCATGTACATTGGCCAAACCGGACAGTCCCTCCGCAAAAGAATAAATGGACACAAATCGGACATCAAGAATGGTAACATACAAAAGCCAGTAAGTGAACACTTCAATCTCCCTGGTCATTCTATTACAGATTTAAAAGTCACTATCATTGAACAAAAAAACTTCAGAAACAGACTTCAAAGAGAAACAGCAGAACTAAAATTCATTTGCAAATTTAACACCATTAATCTGGGCTTGAATAGGGACTGGGAGTGGCTGGCTCATTACAGAAGCAGCTTTTCCTCTTCTGGAATTGACACCTCCTCATCTATTATTGGGAGTGGACCACATCCACCCTGATTGAATTGGCCCTGTCAACACTGGTTCTCCACTTGCGAAGTAACTCCCTGCTCTCCATGTGTCAGTATATAATGCCTGCATCTGTAACTTTCACTCTATGCATCTGAAGAAGTGAGGTTTTTACCCACGAAAACTTATGCCCAAATAAATCTGTTAGTCTTTAAGGTGCCACCAGACTCCTTGTTGTTTTTGTAGATACAGACTAACACGGCTACCCCCTGATACTTATTAAGCCTCATGATGCTCATATGTAGAAGGGAACAGATGGGGAAAACTGAGGCAAAAAGATGAAATGACTTGTCCAGTCATAGGGCGAGTCACTGTGAAAAAGGGAGAAGAACCCAAAGTCCCAAGTCCATTTTTCCGCTAACCACTAGACTTCAGTCTCTGCTTATAAATATTAGAACTTATGATTGACTCACTGTATGACTCACAGTTTATTTTAATCCTCTCCCCATCTTCCACAACCTGCTTTCTGCATCTGTTATATTCATATTTTAGGTTTGTCTAATACAGATCAAAAACTCAGAGGGCAGGGACCATGTCTTTTTAAAAGTCTCTGACAACTGCCATGCCAAGTTATGGCATTACATAGATAACAATACACACTCCCTCCATGATCCAGGTTGTCCAGTATCCTACTTGTGCAGCCATCCAAGAGTCCCAGATTTGATTGCTGGCTTCTTGCTCAGCAAACCTGGTGAAGTTTAGCATTAAGTCTTCCAGTGGATGAAAAGTTGGAGCTGATGTGACCATTTTTCAATCCTCCTTCACAAGGAGTAAAAAGAGGGAAAATAAGCTGATTCCACAGAACTGCAGTGGGGAAAATTCCATTAATAGAAATGTCTAATTAGGATATGTAACTTCAATATATTACCCTCAAGCACAAATCTCCACCAGCTGCCTATTTCAGAACCAGGTAAATGAGCATCCTTCCTAATCTCTACACCTAGGCAGGCCTAACTTCAGATACTCCAGTGAGTGTTTGTATCAGCCTGGTTTTCTCCACCATGAGCTATGGATCCTTCTTCTTCCCACCATACAAAACTGCCTCTACATCAGACTAGTTTCAAATCCCATAGCTTCTCTCTGATACTTCCTGGAGCATTCCAAATCCCACTCCGTGGAGGCTCCAGCAAACCCTGTGCTCAGTCGCTTCAAAATGTGATCACTGCACCTCCTTTCTCCTGCTTTGCCTCATCTATAGACACTGTGAGAGATGAATTGACATACTCTTTTGTATTTATGTTTACTAGAGGACTCCTCTCAGCAGAAGTGGAAATTAGAGGGGGAAAAAATAATAGATTAAAGTGAAAACAGATCAATTTCTTTTAAGTCTGCCATCTCATAATATAAAAGCAAATGGTCACGTAATTAAGTTAATGGTGTGTGATTTTAGAAGAAATAAAAGGGGATATTTTCACTGCAGTACGTAAAGTGCCTGTGGGATTTGCTGAAGAAGGTGGTTAGAGTCCAATATGGTGATTGGAATTAAGAAACACCTGACTAATTTTGCAATTAACATTTGGAACCAGAGGCAGTAAAATGACACAAAGGTAATGAAGTCCACACATTTCAGGGTATAAACTGAACACTGCAGGGCCAGAGTGTAATTCTTTCACATGTATGCAAACTCAACCCTGTGTAACAGTAATGCTTAGCACATATGCAGCACTTTTCATTCCACAGATCTCAAAGCACTCATCAATGATGGAGAGACATTACACCATTTTGCACATATGGACACAAGCAGAGAGAGAGAGAGAAAGATTTGCTCAAGGCCACACTGAGTTAGTAGCAGAAACAAGGAACAGAACCCAGGTCTTCTCATTCTTATTCTGGTGTTCTAGTCCCTGCAGCACTGTACAACTGACCAGCTTGCATGGCTGGGACTGTCTATTTCTCATGTAGCAGATATTGGTAGCCACTAAGGACAGGTTACCAGACTAGCAAGACCAGTAGTCTGACACAGGATATGTATATGTTCCTAAGGATTATAGAACTGCATAGGAATCCAGGAGTACCTACAATTACACTGTTACTGTAGTAAATGCCAGCAGAAGAATCTAATCCTGCTCCACCAGAAGTATAACTCGTGGGACCACAGTGGAATAAATTAATTACTTCCAATGAAGTTAACAAGCTGGTGGGTCCATTTGAGTAATATGTTTCTCATCCTTTCTAAAAACTCATATGATTTCACCATCACAGTCCAAAGGGCTTAATATGTTCTCCTTGCACAGCTTCTGACAAGCAGGGAGATAACACCTTTTTTTCATGTCTCAGACACAACTGGACTTAGAATGTTTTATTTGGTATTGGGCACCATATTACCAGAAAGAAATTGACAAACTAATGGGAGGTCAGAGAAAAGCAACAAAAGTGATCAAGAGGCTAAAGGGACTGACTTATTTATTGTATGAGGAATGATTTGGCTCTTCTAATATTTAGTGTAGCTAAGCAACAACTAAGTGGAGGCATAACAGCTTATGAACATTGGGTGTAAACACAAAGAAGGGAGAGAAAATTAAAGTGGTTGAAAAGATGTGCTATCAGTCTTAATTTCATGTCATTATTCCTATCAGGGAGACTGTACTGACCCCAAGAACTATTTCCCAAGGAAGTTGGGAGGGTAAGTCCTGTCATTTGGAATCCAAGATGTGCATTTTTGCAGCAACATCATACTGCAAATTTATGTCTCCTTTGCTTTCTATCACTGCCTCTTGGTCTTTTATGGCATTCCTTCCTCCTATTGTGTATTGTTTCTGATTATTCCCCCCCCCATATTAGCTGCATTTTTCCTAAACTGAATCTCCGAGTTTTCAGCCCATGATTCTAGTCGCCCAACCTAGATCCCCTTGTATAATTTCTCTATCCCCACCATGCCTTCCCTCCCGGCCCACTGCTTTTTACATGTCTAATGTTGTAATTTTGTTTATTTTAAAAAGAAAACACCTAAAATTTGGGTCTGGAACTACTCAACAACGTCTCTACACCAAGAGGATGTAACCAGAGACTAGGAAAGGAGCTGGTAGGAAAGCGATCAGTCCCCCACGCAAAACATTCATGAGCTGGGGGAGCCGGATGCAAGGCAGAGTTCGCCGGCCAGCAGACGCGTGCAGGGCTGACCTCTGGGCCGGATGATCAATCGGGCCCAAAGGGGGTCTGTCGGGGGGCTGCGAGGCCACTGGGCCGAAGCCCACTCCCCGCAGAGCGTCCGGCCAGCCCGGCACAAAGCACGTGGCGCGTCAGCCCGAGGCCGCCCCGGCGCCGTTTAACCCCCTTTCTCGCGCGCGCCTCGGTCCGGCTTTAACAGCCGGAGAACGACGCGGCCCCGCTCCCCCGGCGGCTCAGTCCGGGGGCGGGGTGGGGGCACCGCCGCCCGGAGCCAACCATCGGTGTCGGGGCCGGGAGGGGAACCCAAGATCTCAGCGCAAGCCGCCCCGCGTGCCCGGGGAAAGCGCGCGGGGAGCAGCAGCAGCGGCAGCAACAGCCGCCGCCGCCGCCCCCCTGCGCCGAGGCACGGGACTGACCTGCCGGCCGCTCCGGGCTAGCTCTGTCTCCAGACGGCGCTTTCAAGAACTCCGTCACCTGACGTCATAATACACAGACCTCGGCGCACACCTATGGTATCACTCCGCCGGGCTACCCCCGCCCCCACCCGGCGACTCATCCCTGTGACATACGCGCGAGGAGGCCTGCTCCAACCCAGCTGGAGAGAGGGCGGGGAGCCGCTACGCAATCCCCGGCTGAGAAGGGGATTGAGAGGGCGGCGCACCAATCGCTCTCTGAAGAGGGGCACTAGGCCCGCCTCAACCCACATGTACCATTCAAAAGCGAATATGGTAATATAGTGGGGCGAAGAAGGGAGAGGACACCCAATTGGTTGAGTGACTGGTCCGAGGGGGTTATGATTGGCTGCGCCGGGAAGGGATGGTGCCGTGTGAGGCTCTGTTGCTGGGCAGGGTAAAATGGCTGCGTTAGACAGGGTGAAGGTGCTGGTGCTGGGGGACTCAGGTGAGTGACAGGTCCTCCCCTCCCCCGCACAGGGGCGGTTCCGCCTGGCACGCTACCGCGTGAGCGAGCGTCCTGGCGACATGCGGGCAGCGGGGACCACCCCTCCCCGGAGCGGTGCCCGTCGTCCCTGCCCTCCCACCTGCGCCGGGCCAGCGGCATCCGGCTCGCGCCGCTGCCGCCCGCGCCAGGCGCTGCCACGTGCCCCGGCAGCCCCTGCACGTGTCTTTGCGCAGCTCTGGCGCGCGGGCCGCCCACAGCCTGTGTCGTGCAGAGGCACCCGGCGCACCGGGGCCGAGGGGGTGCCCAGGGCGGCTCCCTCGCCCGCCGGGAGGCGCTGCACGGAGCTCCCAGCTGAGCTGCGGCAGGGCATGAAAAGGCCGGAATCCGGTTTCTAGTGTGAACATTCCGCAGTTTTCCAAAGCCTCGGATCAGCGGAAGGGCTCAGCCCCGGCGCCGACTGGTTCTTCTCGGGGGCCTGAAGGGAACCGGGCAATTCCAGCCCCAAAGGAAACTTCCTGTAAAAGTGAAAAAGGGGCGAGAATTGGGCTGGACAGTGGAAACTTCTTCGGCCTTCCCAGGGTGTCTGCCCTGATGTTTCCTCATCCTTGACTTCGGAACAGCCCCCTTGTTCTCCCCACCCTTCACTAAATACCTGCGTTTCCAGATTGGCTTTTTCTTAGTGCCTCCCTTGACTGAGCTCATGATCTCCAGAAGAATCCCGTTAGTTTCAAGCTCTCTCTATGGAAGGGTGCAGTGATTGGCTAGCTGTATCAGGTGTGTCCTGATACCATGGTTTAACTTCTTTTGGTAGGAAGGTACAAGTCAAGTCTTAAGTGGGAAGCCGGGTCTAATAGGATTGAGAAGCAAATGAGAATTACTGTAAGAAGCAAAAGCCTATCGTTCTGGCTTCTAAAGGTTCCACTACATATATTTCAGGTTTCAGAGTAGCAGCCGTGTTAGTCTGTATCTGCAAAAAGAACAGTACTTGTGGCACCTTAGAGACTAACAAATTTATTTGAGCATAAGCTTTTGTGGGCTACATCCGAAGAAGTGGGATGTAGCCCACGAAAGCTTATGCTCAAATAAATTTGTTAGTCTCTAAGGTGCCACAAGTACTCCTGTTCTTTTTACTACATATATTGTTATGTTATGTAGTCATATAAGACCAGATGCAGGCCATTAGAATATCTGGAATGGTTTAATGACTCTCTCAAAAAAATACTTAAATTAAAAAAAATATAATTCTTTGAGTCAGAGGAGGACAAATCTTTCCAAGCAAAAGAAACCCAAACAAACCAACAAAAACCATGGGAACAACCAGCGGATGGGGATGTAGACAGCCACTATCAAGTACAAAAGTAACTAATTATGCTTTTAATTTTATACATTCCATAGAGTCATCCAGTTTTTGCTTAAACATATTTTCACTATCTTTGATTGAAAATCCATTCCATCTGTTCATCACTCCCTTATCAAATTCTGTTTTGTCTTGTTCTGGTCTGTCCAGAAATTTCAAGTAGATTGGTAAGCTATGGCCTATATTAAGTTATCAGATATCATGAATGATGAGCATGGTGTAAATTCTTAGATGTAAGCTTAATTTTAGAATAACTTAGTTTAAATACATTAATCATGTCCCTTCTTCATTGTCCTCACCCAGTGTTACCACTCTCACTGCTATTTAACACCCACTAATCCTTTACCATTTTAGTTGCCTAATGCTGCACTCTCCAATTCAGTTAGATCTTCCTTCAAATAGGGTGCGCTAGATACTATGGTTCAGCTGTGACTTACCCATTTCTATATAAGCAACATCACAATATTCTTAGACTTATGTATTCCTCTTGATAAAAGTCTGTGTGCTATTATCCTTCATTTTACAAACCTCAGTATTGATAGGGTATGTCTACAGTGGAACTGGAGGTGTAATTTCCAGTTCAGGTAGCTGTACCTGTGAGAGCTCTGGTGGAGCTTGTGTGCTAAAAATAGCAGTGTAGCTGAGGTTGTACAGGCAGCAGGATGGGCTAACCACCCTGGTTACATATCTAGAGCTTCAGACGGGATTGTGCTTGAGGCAACTAGCAGATCCCACAGCCCATGCAGCCACAGTTATACTGCTATTTTTAGCGCACTAGCTCAATCAGCACATGTACGTCTGCCTGAGCTGGAAATGTCACCTTCCACTCCAATGTAGAGATACCCATGGTGTTCCTATCACCAATATTTTCTTTACTGCTGCTGCACACTAGATCATAGATTTAAATGTGTCCAACAATACAACTAGGCCACTATCCTTTGCTCTAGTAATTAGTTCATTGCCATTTAAGCTATACTTAGCATGAATACTATTTCTACCCAAGTGCATCATTTTACACTAAGATGTGTTATATTTAGAATTCCACTGCTGAGCCTTTTTGCCTGATTTACCAAGATTATTCCAGCCCATTCAATTGATCTAAGATTATGCTACCATCACCCTTGAGTCTTAACCATACTCCTATTTTGGTATCACTGGTAAATGTAAAGATCATGCATTGCCAACTATGGAGCTTCTATTTATGTTTGTTTTTCAGGTGTTGGGAAGTCTTCACTTGTTCATCTGTTGTGCCAAAACCAGGTGTTGGGAAACCCATCTTGGACAGTGGGCTGCTCAGTGGATGTCCGAGTAGGTGAAACTTTTTAAACTTGTAGTGCGTACTGCGTACTGTGTCTGTCCTTCAAAAGTTAGAAGAAATGAACCATCTAATCTTTGACACTGTGGGCAGTTCTCTCTGAAGTCACAGGTTCAGATCTCAGTAGGATACTTCCAAGGCCTCTAAATTAAGTTTACTGTGAGTGGGTCTTTCAAATGATATCTTAAATACTTATGCTTAAGTCTTGTCTATTTTGTATGGACATTAAAGGGTCTCATGGCATTTTCTTAATGGAAAGGGTTTACCTGGTGTCTTTGGTTAAAATTTCCTGTTCTCTCACTTACCTATAATGAACTAACAGCTGCCCTCCACCTCCTAGGTAGTTGCATTTCAGCTTTGATGTATGTAAATTGTTTAACACTTTGGGATCCTTTGTGACAAAAAGTGGTAAAGGAAGGTAAGATATTCTCATTATACATGGAGCATATTTGCTCCCAAAAATTAGGCTTTACAATGGTACCATCTAAAAATCCTAGATATGTGTCCTTTATAGAACACATCATATTATAATGGATATAACTGTATTATTATTACTGTTCATTGAGTGGTGAACTCAGTGTCAGTAGATGAATACATTAAATTAAACTAAACTCTTCAAAATTCCCTGGAAATCAATTGCCACATATAGCTTAATTCCACATATAGCTTAATTCCATGCCATGCTGCCAGCCAAACATATAAAAGAAAAGGATTTAATTTCATTTGTTTATATCATGTAAGAATGTTTTGCTCATGTCATTAAAGAGCAGGATGTCTGTGAAATGCTGCCTTTTTTACAGGCTGCTGACAGCAGAAGCTAATGGCTTGAGGAATCTAGAAATTTATGAGGAAGTTTTCAGTGATGAGCAACCATTCGCATGGTGTGGTTGAAAAACATCCCCTCCCGTGCCTATTGTATATTTCATTCTTTCCAAGGTGTCATGCTTTGCCTGAGGCTAGTGATGATACTGTCTTAATGTCTGAACAGCATCTTTCATTCCAAAGGATCCCAAAGCACATTTCCAACTTTTTGGGAAAAGAAATGTGGCATTTGTTTTTAATAGTGCAGAGCAAAACTATGCATCAGACTTTAGGAGGAAAAGTGATGGCTATTGAATTCAGTTGAAACTTCAGGGAGAATTTAGAGAGGCAGAAGATAATAACTAGATCTGGACTTTTGCCAGGACACCAGTGCTAATCTTAATCTTGCAGCTATTACCATATGTCCTTTAATGACTACAAGAGGTCAGAACCTCACTTTTTCATCTGCTCTAGCAGGAGAGTGCCCCTAAGCATCACAGTGCGGATTTAGGTTCACCAATATCTCTGAAGGAAGAAGGCCCTCTACTGGCTCAGGAAGGCTGCTTCCTGAAGCACCATGGTGTCCATTGCAGGTCTACTAACCTGGCCCAGACATGTGTAGTTGTGAGATCTGATAGCCTCACAGTATACTGTGACATGGTTCCATGTACTCTGATTAAAAGTTACTGTTCCAACACTCGGAATTTTTGCCCTTCCAGCTGAGGTCAGCATTGTGTGGATCGCCTTCTGCAATTGATACTGTGCTTATTTATGGATTGATTTTTTTTTTTCCAGATTCATGACTACAAAGAGGGGACCCCAGAAGAGAAGACCTACTACATTGAGTTGTGGGATGTTGGCGGTTCAGTGGGCAGTGCTAGTAGCGTGAAAAGCACACGGGCAGTGTTTTACAACTCTGTGAATGGTAAAGTATGTTTGGTATAAATCCATTTTTGTTTCCGACTACTTTCTGTTGTGAGATGTCACTGTTGGTTTTGAGTCAGGATTCACCCAGGTTTTATTATAATATCTGCACTTAAAAAAAAGAAATTAGACCGGAAAGAATTCATAGATTCCTTAAGTCAAATATATCTGTTTGGAGCCAGCTGTGAGCTGGAAA